GCCAGCTCTCGTTCTGCTTTTGTCTTCTGCCTAACCTAAGCTTGGCAACCACTATTTATTTTTCTGTCTTTGTGAACTTGTCTATTCTGGGTATTGTCATTAAACCTGAGACATTTTGTGTCACCCATCTTTCCCTTTGCGCAACATTTTCTTAGTTCATTGAGGCTATGGCACGCCACTGCTTTTAATGGCTGACCGTTCAATATCAATTCATGGAGATGCATTTCCCAATCCATCTGCCACTTGATGGATATTTGGCTTGTTTCTTTGGTGCTACTTTAAACAATAATGCTCTTGGGGAATGGAGAGATGGCTCAGTCATGAAGGGCACTGGCTGCTCTTCCAAAGAACCCTGGGGTTTGATTTCCAGAGGACAGCTCACAACTGTAACTCCAGTCTCAGGGGACCCAAAACCCTCTTCTGGCCCCTACTAGCACTGCATGCGCACTATGCACAGGCTTACAGGCAGGCAAAGCACCTGTATACATAGAAATAAATAATTAAATAATTTTAAATGCTACTATGAACATTTGTGTGCAAGTTTCTATGTAAATGTCTATTTTAACTCCTGGGTAAGCGCTTTGGATTACAATTGCTTGGTCATACTGTGATTCTCTGTTTAGCTTTCTGGGATTTTCCTCCAGGTGTCTCCCTCAGTTCCTTCCCATTCTTTCCTGTGTATCAGGTTCCACTTTCTCCACTTGTTATCAGCACTTACCAGTATGCGTGTCTATGAAATTCTACCAAACCAATCTGTACGTAGTGCTATTGATTCGAGTTTTTAATGTTCATTATCCTAATGGTTAATGACGTTGAACACCTTTTCATGTGTTTATTATTCATGATTTATTCATTGACAAACTTTCCATTCAACTCCTTCACTCATTTTTATGTTTGGAGAATTTTGTTTGTTTGTTCAGTTCTTGGAATCAAACCTAAGTTCTCATACATGCCACTCAAGAACTCTATTGCTGAGCCACACCCCCAGCTCTTCCACCTAATTTACTTTTAAATTTTAAAATATTTTATTCATTTATTTATGTGTGTGTTCGCACATGCGTGCATGCATGCGTGAGTGTATGTGTGTGTATGTGTGTGTGTTGCATCGGAAAGCAATGCATGCACCTGTGAATGAGTGAAGGCCAGAAGAGGCTATCAGGAGTCCTACTCTGTCACTCTCCTCCTATTCCTTTGAGACAGGATCTCTCTCTAAACCTGGGCTAGCATTTTCTCAGCTGGGCTGGGAGCCAGCAAGCCTCAGTAGTTTTCTTGTTTGTGCCTCCTTTGGAGTTGGGATTGTAGATGTGCCTGGCTCAGTACATGGGTGCTGGAATCCAGACTCTGAGCCTCATGAGTTCAGGGCAAGCACTATTTTTTTTTTTAACTTTTTATTGCTTCTTTGTGAGTTTCATAGCATGTACCCCAGTCTCACCCACCTTCCCATCCCCTCATATCCACCCTTCTCACCCTTGCAAACACCTCCCCCAAATAAAAAGACAAACAAAAACCAACGCATAGAAAACATCTCATCATGGAAGCTGTAGTGTGTCACAGTGTGTCCCACAACATATCTCCCTGTGCACACATCTTCACTTGCAAATGTTCATGGCAGCAAACTGAGACACTGGTCTGGTTCGAGATCTCTGGCTTCTGTGACACCATCAATATTAGATCCTCATTGGGTCTTCTAACAGTTATTGCCCTGTGTCATGGAGATCCTGCAACTTTGGATCTACAGGACTGGCCTTTTCACACGCTCCAGCAGTTTGTAGATGGTGTAGATTTGGGGGTGGGCCAACTCAAAGCAGGGTAAGCACCCTGAGCCATCTCTCCAGCCCTTTTTAGTTAACTTTAACTTTATTGTTTATTTTATTGAAGAGTTACAAGAATTTTTGTATATTTTATATACTGTGACCTTACAGATATGGGTTTGAAAAATACGGGCTGTAGTTTCACTTTCTTCACTGTGTTCTTTGATACACAAAGGTCTTTAATTTGGAGAGTTTCTAATTTTTTTTGGTTCCCTGTACTTTAAATATTATATCTAAGAAAAATATTTCTTAGCCCAAAATTATAATAATCTACATTCCTAAGGCCTGGGAGTGTCAAGCTCAGTACAGAGTACTTGCTTAGAATGTTCTAATGAATGTTCTGCTCCCATTTAATGTTCTGCTATTTAATGCTTCTTTCTCTGGAGCCTCAACTGACCACATCTCCAGGCAGCAAAGTTGAAAGCTTAGTTGACTCTCAAGCTGTACAATCCACAACCCATGAGTATTATATGTTCTTTGTAGCTGACTAAGGGGCTGTACTGTCCACCTTCTGATGCTTTGGGTATCCTTTAACTTCTCTGCACAGGATCATGATAACCATAATTATTAGTGCATATAAGTTGTATAAGTTAATAGTACTTGCTAGTACAGTTCCATACCCTCATAGGTCATGCACCTCCTTCCTTCTGGCACTTCCTCTCCTTCCTCTTTCCTCCCTATTCCCAGTCCCTTACACTTCCTCTTCTTTCTGGATGTCTTCATTTTTTTTCTTTTAATTTTCCCATGTGAGAGAACTAGATTATTTAACTTAACATGATATCCTCCAGTTCTGTCTATCATCCCCAAAATGACAAGACTTCAGTCTTGTTTCCACTTGAGAAATATCCCACTGTGTATAACACTAATTTTTCTTCTTTGTTCATCCAGTAACTGGGCACCAAATTATTTCCTGTTGATATTGATCAAACAGCATCTTCTGTCCTTTACAGGCCTCAGGCTTGGCAGATAAAGGCAGGACCAGATACTTAAGCAGCAGGACTGGATACTGAAGTGGAATGCCCAACCGAGGGCAACCCTTTCTTCCCCAGAACGTCTCACCTTTTGTTCTCTGTTTTGTATCAGGAAGGAACAACCATTGTCCTTCTAGAGGGCTCCAGGATCCCTCTCCCCCATTTCTTATGCCACTGAACCATCCATCGTTTCATTCTCTTGAGTTGTAAGGCACTAACTGGTCTACCATGGATCTGTGGCCTTTGTCTGGCATTGGTCTTTGCTGAACCAAATTCTAAGCTGCTCCTTGGCCTGTAAAGTAGACAGGGGCAACACTGTGACTCATCCACCTAGGAAAGACTATCTTGGGCTGAGGAGATGGCTCCACAGGTAAAGCGCTGGTGGTTACAAGCCTGAGGGCTGGGATTCAGGTCCCCAGCACTGATGTAAATGCCTGGTGGCTACGGAAGCTCCCTGGAGTGCCAGCTCTCAGGAAATGGAGAATCCATAGAACAACCTTGATAGTTAGACTAAGAAAATTGGAGAGCTCTGTGTTCAATTGAGAGTCCTTGCTTCAATGAATAAGGTGGAGAATAGTTGAGGAAGCTACCTGACATCAATGCCAAGCCTCTGTATATGCATGCACAGAACACACATATGTGCATGAATGCTGTGCACAGACATACACATACACACACTTAGACACACATACACATATATGTATACACACATATGCACAGAACACTCTCTCTCACACACACACACACACACACACACGCGCTACCTTCTTCTCTGTTCCTGGACGGGGCATAAGGTTGAATACATAGATGATCATCTATGATATTCTCATCTAGGTCAAGTCACATCCAGGCACAATCCAGACAAGCAGCAAACACAGGCAGCAAAACCCAGACTGTGTGACCTGAAACCTTGGGAGGAGAGCATGATTGCACAGATGAGATAGCCGGCCAAGATGGAAACTGTGCATGAGAGAAGGAGAAGTCACTCCCAGAGGCTCACGGTACCCATCTCAAGGGCAGGAGTATTTCCTCAAATAACCAAATACATCAGCTTCTTACTAACATGGTGCTTGCTCCATCAGACAGATTATGTGAAGGACAGTTTTGGGTGTTCGCCGAAGAGTTTGGCTTTCATGAACACACAGGTCACTGAACTTCTGAGTATTCACCAAATCCTATTTTCTGCTCTTGGGGATACAAGTGGACTGTATCCTCAGTTTCATGTGCAAATAAGAAGAATCACATGGCTACACAGTGACCAAAAGAATGTAGACAAAAGGCGAACTAAAACAAGTGACAAGCCTAGCCCCTAGACCCAGCCCCTAAAAACCCTTTCATGAGGGGCTGGAGCGATAGCTTCCTGATCAAGTGCACATGCTGCTCTTTCAGAGCACTGGGAATTGACTCCCAGCACCCGCATTAGGCGGCTCACAACTCCCTGCAACTCCAGCGTTCACATGCACATACATACATACATACATACATACATACATACATACATACATACACACACATAGTTTAAAAAATGTTAAAGCTTCTTAGGAATCTCCCTACTACTTAACTTCTCCTATCTGCTGGCAGATGAGGTCCTGGGAGATGACAGAGCCACAGATAAAAGATCCTTGCATTGGGGCCTACATGGCCACCCTCGGAAAAATGTATTGTGAATGTAAACTAACTTAATTTGCTAGCCACACGAATTTGTTGTGGTGGTTGTTGCTGCTGCTGCTGCTGCTGCTGCTCTTGACCTTGAACTCACAATCTTCCTGCCTCAGACTCTTAAGTGCTAGGACTACAGATGCGCAGCACCATGCCTGGCAAATCCATGGAATGTTTATAAGCCTCTGTGTGTGTGTGTGTGTGTGTGTGTGTGTGTGTGTGTGTGTTTATGCAGTGATTGGTAAACACACAGGAGAAGACAGACTTGCTTCAGTGTCCACCCATCAGTGTCCCATCAGTGGGATGGGAGCAGCTGTTGGCACTTGTGGGCTTTCTAACAAGAGAAGCACTCGTCTTTAATGGCGTACAAGAACCATAGAGCCCTCGTGATGCCATATCCATTTATTTGACAAAAGCTTAAATGTCCTCTGACTGAAGACATCAAAGAAAGGACAGAGAGGCCCTCGGCTGGAGCAAGTGGCCCTTCAGGGACGCCAACACCATTCCTCCCAGATCACAGCCGCCCCGCAGCCCACACCGGCAGTGGCCCACATAGACACTAGTGTTTCATCAGGCTTTTAAAGGGTTCTCTGGAAGAGAGAAATTAGATCGTTAGACACCAGTCTCTCCGGGAGTAAATTCACGTCTGAACAACAGTACCTCAAGCTCCAGAAATTCTCTGTTACGTCAGGAGTTACCCTTTCCAACATCAACTCTCTGTGCCAACAAGATGGCTCAGTAGATAAGAGCACACGACAGCAAGCCTAAGGAGCCAAGTTCGATCCCAAAGACCCCATGATAGAGGGGACAGCTCTCACAAGCTGCCTTCTGACCTTCACACACACACACACACACACACACACACACACACACACTGTGGCATACATATGTGTACATATACTAAATAAATAAACCTGAAAACAAATTAAAGCAATTTCTCCCAAAAGGTTTGCTGATTGGCAGCTGGATTCAAGGTCTTCTGGGGTCTAGCCGAGAAAAGGTGATCAGTTTGTTTGGATAGAGGAGGGACATATGAATTGGTGGGTGGTGTCATATGAGAAGCAAAGAGTTGAATGGTAGTGGTGGAAAAAAACAAAACACAGACGGATGTCACTGCCTTGATTTCTGTGTAAATGGTAATCTAGATTTGGAGATAGGCGTTTCCTTGCTTTATTTGACTGTTTCTGTGAGTGGATTTTAGATGACCTCAGTCTTCTGCAACTCCTAAAGAGTGGCTTGAAGAGTGAACAAGGAGCAGAATTCGAGTATGCCCATGCCCTCATCCTCCCCCGCCCCCAGGGCCACTCACGCATTGTCCAAACAGATGTTTCCACAGTATGTCCAGCAGCACGTGTGGTTTGGGCTCACACAGTTCTGCACCTTCGTGCACCTTTTGCCACAGAACCTGGTCGGAGGCTGTACCCAGCACTGATCGATTTCTGGGATCTTGTCTGGAATTGAGATGCTGGAGGTTGGCAGAGTGTATTTACTCAGGACGTGAAGCAGAAACCCTTTCAGACTGAACCAGCCCTTCTGGAACTCAGAGGCCCCATGTCAGGAAGTATCTCTGCCGTCCATGAAAACCCCTCCAGCTATAGGCAGTGTTTCTACGAGAGAGCATCCCTGCACGACATACTTTTCCTCCTCCTGTGTGTTACCGAGGTACTGTGGGATTCTGGGTCCTCAAGGACCAAATTTATACTGATAAGATCTTAGATTTCAGAGCCTGCAATCTTGAGTTCTAAATCCTATACCCAACTTGCAGAATGGGAAAACTGAGCCAAAGACGGTAGGAACCTCACCTCCTACTTTTCTATTTGCTTCCTATTGATAGCCGCTGAAGTACGCCCCATCCCAATCCATATACTCACTGTACTGGTACTTTTCTGCTCAGTCCTTCCGTTGCTCTCACCACCTTAGCAGGCATACATGATTTTCTAAGGTGCCCTCATTTGTTTGTGCCGTTTTTCAGGCTCAAATCACGATGGTGATATTAGTCATCTATGTCTCACCTCACCAAAGTGCAGAGATTTTGAAAATATGGGCTCAAAGGGAAAACTTGGTGTTACTAATTCCTCTCAATGATTCTAACTGAGCTGGTCAGATAGAAAATCGGATTTCCTGGTGCTCTGTGAGGTATAGAAACGGCTCTGTTCTCTTTCCAGGTACCTGGTATTGCTTTCAGAGACGCAAAGGGAGTTTGAAGGCACATCAGACTGCAGGCATCCACTGTAACGAATGTCTCTGCTTAAGGATAGCTCGGATCTTCTTTCAACTGTGTACTGTGTGTATGTGTGCGGTGTATGTGTGTGAGCGTAGGCAAGCATGTGCCACGACACACATGTGGAGGCCAGAGGGCAACTTTTGAGAGTTAGTCCTCTCCATCGCAAAATCCCAGGGATCAAACTCAGGTTGTCAGTCTCTGACCTCCTGAAGTCTGTCTGGTTTTGGAAAGCTGGGCCCTAACCCAGCCGTGACAGACACGCCAGGGATGGGCAGAGCACCCCGTTGTCATGCTATGACTGTTACCATGTTTACCCCTGAGGCTTCCCAGAACATGCAGAAACACCACAACTCCATGGACGGACACTGCGAGAAGGAAGATCTGGAGCCTCATGTCAGACCTCGGCGGTTGCAGGAAGACAAATCTTCACCCACTGCCGCTAGAAGCAGAAAAGACATGAAGGCGCGCTGGGCGAGGAGGACTCGTGGGGATGCTATCCCTTCCTGCCCCTTCCTTGGCCCCCACACATATACCAACTCCCTCACCAGCCATCATTTTCCTCACGCTGCTTCCTGCCTCTCGTGGCATGGCCCTTTCTGAGGTTGCTTCTTTTTAGAAGGTACTGCTCCCCTTGAAGAGCAGAGCAAATCCTTAGATTGTACGATTTTTTTTAAAATACAAAGAGGAAATGGAGAAATGTCAGTAGTTCCTCTACCTGATGACCGCCAGCCAGCATATGTGCCTACTTATGCATGATGCTCGATATTTTACCAAATTAGATAATCAGGGGTCCTGATAGTTTGTCAAGAGACATCTGTTATACGTTAAGGCTCAATAACGTGGGGGCGGGGGGAGTGTGTGTACAAAAGTAGAAGTATCTTTGTTTTCTCAAACACGCCAACATGCAGTGTTTTAGTCATTTTTCCGTGTCCTGATGACACCGCTGTGCACGGCTAGAGCCACCTTGCACTCTGCTCTCCTTTCTGTTTTAGTAACCTGTGCATGTGTGCGTGTTTGTTTGTTTGTTTGTTAGTTTTTTTAATGCCGTTGTGTATTGTTAAAGTTACACATTCTAATGCCCTGCTCTTCCGCTCCTTTCTTGTTCAATTCGTACCTTGGTTCCGGGTAACGTGTAGAAGGCAGACTTGGTTGAGTTCCGGAACCCGTAACTGGGCAGCAACAACTGTCATCACTCTCTAACATAGTGTTCGTCAGCCACTCGAGACTATTTAAATTCACTAAGTCAAGTGTCAGTTTTCAGTGATTTCAGACTTCAATAGCCACGTGCAAGTTAGAGCCGTTACTCTGACAGTCCATAGGACACAGCCATAACCATTAAGTGTTTTCCTGACTGGTGGATATATGCGTGCATCTACCAAAAAGCCTCTGCAGGAAAGCCAGGGTAACGCAAGAGATCGTTAAAGGGCGAAACCGCAGGGCTGAGAGGGAGGGATGGCTCAGGGGTTAGGATCACATACTACTCTTCTGGGAGACCTGAGTTCAGTTCCCAGCATCCATGTTAGGGGTTTTACAACACCTGTAACTCCAGCTCCAGGGGTCTGATGCCCTCTTCTGGCCTTGAGGGCACCTGAATTCTTGCGTGCATGCCCCTCCCCCACCCGGATACACTTAATTAGGGAATAAAATAAAACTCTTTGGAAGAATGAAAGATAAAGTTGCCCCAGGTCTGTGTCCATGCACAGAAACATGCATACCCATGCACACACATATATACTCATGTATACACACACACACACACACACACATGCAACCATGCCCGAGGGACATGAAAGTTATGAACAGTCATGTTGGTTGGCTTCCATTCCTTTTTTCATAAGTTTTTTATTTTATATGTATGGGTATTTTGCCTGCATGTATTTCTGGTGCTTTCAGAGGCTAGAAGACAGCACTGGAGCCCCTGGAATTAGACTTACAGTTATGAGCCACCACGTGGGTGCTGGGAATCAAAGCAGATTCTTCTGGAAAAGTGGCCAGTGCTCTTAACTGCTGAGCCATCTTTCCAGCCCCATTCAGCTTCCATTCTAAGATGCTCGTGTCAGCTCTCCAGGCTTCTCCATTCAGAACCCACAACCCACTATCTTGCCTCAGTGTGGCCAGATGATGGAGATGAGGTTTTTAAGACTCCATGTGCCACTGGGCAGTATTCACACCCAAAAAATGCAGCTTCATTGTTGAGGTGGGGGGTGGGGTGGGGGCACTTCCAGAAATCTCACGGCTAAGTTACTTGAAATAACACAACCAGCTAGCAGCGTCGGGCTGTCCATTCCCTGAGGATCTGGGGTGGGGCAGGGGGTCCTTCTGATCCCGTGAAACCACCACTACATGGCAACAGGTGCACAATATGCTCTACCAACCGCACACAGGCTGGGAGGTGAGACGAGAGCTCACCGGGTGAGTACGGGCGTAGACGGTAGTGTGGAATTGGGGTGCCTCCTCCCGCATAAAGGACAAAGAGGACGTGTAAAGCGACTCCACCCACTGAAAGCCGTGGGTTCTTGGAAGCGGTTTGTTTGTATTAAAATATTGCCCTAGACTAGAGTTATTAATCTGTTCATTGAAGGGCATCATTCTTTTTTTCTTTTTTGTCTTGATATTTCACTTGTATGTGTGGGTGTGGCTGGGTGAGCACAGGTGTTCCACGCAGATGCCTGCAAAGACCATGGAGGACAGACACCAAGTTTCCCCAGCTGTCTGGTGTGGGTGCTGGGAACCCGTCTCAGTTCTCCTCTCTGCTGAGCCACCTCTCCGGTCCTTCACTATCTGTCACTTACCCTTCAATGATGTCATAAGTGTGCAGGATGTACCTTGGTCATATCCACCCCCAAGCCCCGCTCCCACTCCCCTGACCCGTCTCCCCGCCTCCACGCCCTCCCCTTATCCTGGAGTGGAGAGGACCCACTGAATCCAATCAGTGTTGCGCGCTTGAATGCCGAATGGTGACTATCCACGCAGCAAACTCAGGAGCCTAATGGACACGGACCATGCGGTATACAGAAGACAGGAGTTCACAGCGCTCCTTCCCACCCTTCAGATCTTTCCTTCCGTCAGCCCTTCCTTCCATAATGTTTCCCGAGTACTGACACAGATGTCCCACTCAGGGCTAGGCACTCCATAGTTACCTCTTCTTAGCGCTTTGACTAGTTTTGAATCCCATTACACAAGTCTGTCTGGCCAGTGCGGAAAGCAATACAGATCTAAGATCACATTCTTTTTTTCTAATTAACTTTTTATTTCTTATTTAACATATATGTACTTCACGCATGTTTGTGCACAAGCAGAGGGCATCAGATCCCCTGGAGCGGGAGTTCCAGATGGTTGTGAGCCACCCACCTGTGAGTGCTTGGAATGGAAGGAACTCCAGTCCTCTGGAAGAGTAGTCTGTGGCCTTAACCACTGAGCCACCTCTCCAGAACCCTCCCATCTCATTCTTACTTTAACACCTGGGTCTCCAAAAGGTTCTCAGGATCCTGCTGATGCCCAATTGTCCTCCCTTGCACACTTCTAGTGTTGGAAATCATCCCGGAGAAGGGAAGCAAGATCTGCCCCAGTATTTCCCCTTTCAAACTCAGAACGCCTCTCACGTTCAGTTTTGGTTACCTGAGGGGAAGTTTAGAAAACGGAAAGGCCTGAAGTCACCATAAAGATTTCGACTTTAGTAAAACCACTAATGCCCCAAACTGCAAATCCTGGGTTCTTCCAACAGTGTAAAGAACAGGGCTAGGCGAGACTACAGGTGACAGTGTCATCTACATGACCTTTCCCTGTGGGGTCTTGGATAGATCAGTCACGTCGCCTCTTCTTCGGTTTTCTTACTTGAACAAAAAGGACACCACTGCCCTTTTCACGGGAGTAATATTGATGCTGTTCCAGGTGGCAGCTCATCTCAGACAAAACTCATGCCTCAAGACTCTCTCACCACACACACACACACACACACACACATCCCCTACAGACACTTGTGAAATGAACTGACAGCGCCTTTGTCCACACCCCCGGGGACACAGCACAGGAGAGCAGGCGGGAAAACCAAAGTCCGGAAGCTTAGGCGTTACAGTGACTTCTGGGGCAGCAGAGCATTAAATTCAGCCGTCCCACAGACTGCTTCTTTGGCATTCGTCCATCCTGAAAGCACTGGACCGTGTTGACACAGGCGTGACCCTGGGTGGGCTGGGGACATTGTATGCCTGCTCTGCAGCTCTAGTGCAGAATTACTGGGCTCAGCCACAGGAGGGAAGGGAGTCAGTGGGACCTGTCTGGGTTGGCAGTGGTGTTCTGAGGAACGGTCTCACTCTGTAGCCCACACCTGCCTGGGACTCAGCGATCCTCTCGCCTCAGCCTCCGAATGTTAGAATTTACAGGAGCATCACACCACACCCAACTTTGGGCCACGATCTTTATCTTCGCGTGCTGCTCAGCTTCGATTCTCCTTTGATCGTCCAGAGTACAGCCGCCTGCCACAAATGCCCTCCAGCGAAGAAGCTGGATAGGAAGGGTTTTTAGAAAGCTAGATAGCCATCTAGCAAAGGAAGGAAATGGAGCCATCAGACCTAGAATTGGAATCTTGCCACAGAGTTGTTGCTTAGGTAAGTGGAGACGTTTGTCCACCAGATATCAAAGAACAGCATGCTAGAACCTGGAGAGAGGGCGCAGTGGGCAAGAGAGCTTGCTGTCCAAGCATGGGTTCTGAGTTCGGATCCCAGCCCTCACAGTTAAAAAAAAAATCCTAGCAGTACCTCACATGCCTGTAATCCCAGTGCTGGGGCACATGGACAGAAGGGTCATTAGTTCTCGCTGGCCACCTGGCCAGGTTGCAAACTTCAGGTTCAGTGAAAGACCCTATTCCTTGGGGAAAAAGCAGGGAGTTACAGAGCAGGGCACCCAATGTCTTCCTTGGCCCCTCCACCACACACACATACATACACACACACACACACACACGCACACACACACACACAGAGACAAAGAGGTCAAGCACTCTCAAAGAGCAGACTCCTCTCAAACTTGGCCTACTGGATTTCTTTATGTAGATGTGGGAACAATCCTTCCAAGACTCCACACACTTGGCTAAGGAGGATGAGCCACTACAAAGACAGAGGCCAGGGTTTGAAAGACCCAAATCCAACATTGCCCCTTGGGGCACATTGAGGGGAAATTGGTGAGGAGGAAAAAGGTACCTGCTATGGTTTGTAGTTTGTTCCCCAAAGATTCCTGTGCTGGAGTGGTGATCCCCAGAGAAGCAGAGTAGTATGCTAAGAATGATACAACATTTAAAAGGTGGGGGCCTAACCAGAGATAGAGAGGCCTAACCCAGAGGGTGGGGATGGAGGGAGGGAGGGAGAGAAACAAGGAGGTGTACATATGGAGGAGGGACTAAGGATTCAAAGGCAGTGGAAAGAGAGGGTTGAGTATGGATGGGATCAATATACACTTATATACAGGTGTGACGTTGTCAACAGATGAAGGAAAGATAGTTTGAAAAGCCAAGAACAGAAGTCAGAGTCTTTACTGCACTGTAAAAGGAGCTGGGTATGTCGAGAGGTCTCTCCTTGGCCCTCCTAAGTCTGTGCTCAAACCTTCCTCGTTTGCTCCCCACAGACCCACTTCTGCAGAAGAGCATAAACTAGGGCAAATACTTGACAGTGTGTGTGTGCATGTCTGTGTGCATGTGTGTGTGTGTGAGAGAGAGAGACAAATTTAAGCGAAAGGAGTGCAGTTATGGAAAGGTGTTTGGGACACAGGTACACAATTAAGTAAGAAGGGTGGAAGGCAGGAAACAGAATGACTGAGCCAAAATGCGATTCTGTGTGAGGTGCCTGGAGAAGCTGAAAGATGACACAGCGAAACAGGGCTGGGGCTGGGGAGGTGACTCGGGGGTTATGAGCACATGCTGGTCTTTCAGAGGACCCAGGTTCAGTTCCAGTGCCTGTGGTAGGCAGTTCACAACTCTAGTTCCAGGAAATCGGACCTGATGTCCCAGTTGTCATGTGTGGTATACACACACGCACACACACACACACACACAAGTGAAATAAGTAACAATGAGTCTATTGTTGTTACTGGTGAGACCATAATCTTAATTGTTTTCTTTTTTCCATAAGATCATTTATAACAAAAAAACAAAAATAAGTTGTATATTTTTCTTTGTGTATGTAGTGTGTGCATGTATGTACATATGTGTTTATGCTTGTGCATTCACATGTGGAGGCTAGAGGCGGACGTCAGAGTCTTTCACCGAACCTAGGACTCACAGGCTCAGCTCCAGGCAGCTCAGAAGACCCTGGGGTCTTCCTGTTTCTATCATCACTCCCACTTCTGGCTTGCAGACGTTTGCCTCCAGGCCAGCTTTTACATGCAGATGCTTTACCAAAAAAGCCATCTCCTGAACCCTGAATTATACATTCCATGAAGAAATTATGTTAACAAGAAGAGAGGGCTGATGATGAGAAAGGAGATAATCATTTCCGAGAAAAGCCACCCAAGAACAAATCGGGCAAGAGGAGGGAACACGTCGTTTACCGCTTTGTCCAGATTTAGCCAGTAGAGGCAGCAGAGAGCCCTCATCCTGCCGTGAGAAGTCCAGACCAGATCTAAACTCATCGCTCTGGTCACAGTCATGTCCAGGGCTCTGCTGCTCATTCTTGGCGTTCTGCTGCTGCTGCTATCGCTAGCCCAGGGAGGGATCCGCAGGAAAAAGCCAGCATATGAAGGTGAGTGTTGGATGAGGTGGTATGTGGGCAGCAGGCAAGGAGGGACTGCGAACTGATTCAGAAGCGGCATGCTGCATAGCTCCTTCTTCAGGGTACTGTGCAGGCTCGGAGTGGTTTCCAGCAGTAGACATAGTGATTCCCCCCTTTCCCCGCAGAAACAAGTAGTGGCGAAAGGGGCACCGTGGCTGAAAATCCGATGGGCAAACAAGACAGTTGTTCTCGATTGATGCATATTTGGAAGGGCTAACTATACACAGATGTTCATGGAGGAGTTGGGGGTGGGGAGGATAGTGGAAACGGGTGAAGGAGCAGAAACAAGAGACATAAAAGAGGGAGGAAGAAATTGCCTTCTGGTGTTGGGGGTAGGGGCCGGAGGGGGAAGTAAAAGGTAAACTTTGAAAGGGACAAGATCCTGGAAAGAGTGACAGCAAAGAAAGCCGAGAAAGGCCAGAGGCTCATCTGTTACCCCGACGGACCCTGCAAATTCTCAAGAGTTGAAAGAAGGGTCTGAGAAATGCCCAGGTCTCTGCAAGCTGAGTATCAGTGGACATCCCACAGAGATGATGTCATCAGGGCTCTCTCGACTAGGAGAGACTAGTCCTGGGTTCGGGACTGAGGAATAGGAACAGAGTACCCAGACACTGATAGCTCAGGAGAGGTGATGCGATCAGCACGGGGCACGGGATCTAACACAACTCATCGCCAGGACTTGGTGAGTGACGCAAAGAGGGTTGCCCGGGTGAGAGTGCTCAGCACACCGAACGTTTAAGCCTGAGAGGGAGTCTCTCTAGGCAGCCACTCTGCTCACCTACCTGGTCTCGTTCCTTTTCAGTAGAACGAGGCGTCCCTGTCATCAAGCCGTGTGAGAGAAAGCCCAAGTTGTATCTGTGCCAACGCCACTGTGAGGCTGACGAAGACTGCCAAGCCAATAACATATGCTGCTCCGCCACCTGCGGGAACATTTGCGTGAACCTGTTGGATGATTCAGTGTGGGAAGAGCCCCCTGCTCTCCCTGAAAACTTCTATCCAGAGGGTCAGTCCTTCTCTCAGGTCATCTTTGACGATGTGGTGTTTCCGCCCACAGCCACTTCAAACTTATCAGTCTATATCCAATGAAAACCAATGGCGCCCCCTATGTGTGCCCTTCCAGGGTCGGGCTTTTCTCTCTCTCTCTCTGTCTCTCTCTCTCTCTCTCTCATTAGTAGTTTGCCTTTAGTGACATGGGTAGGCCAAGCATGGCAGGGTCTCACAGACCGGAGGAGAGTGTTTCCTCTGGACTCTTCGCTCAGGTCTCTGTCACATACCTTCACCAAATCTCCAGTTGTTCGTCCCTGTTGTATACGGACACACCAATGCTGGGGCCTAGTTGGGAAGTGAGACTCCAGTGGTTTTATTAACTGAATGTTCTCCACCAACCCCAAACTACCCTCTTTTAGACTCTTCTTTTGATCCGCAGACATGTCAGAAAGCGGTGAAACAGGTGATTTGTACTGACATTACAAAAAAAAAAAAAAAAAAGATTTGGTACAAGGTGGCTCCAAGCTCCTGCGCTGATTAAGTTCCTGTCCTGACTTCATTTGATGATAAACTGTGATGTGGAAGCAAAAGCCAAATAAACCCTTTCCTCCCCAAGTTGTCCTCCAGTCATGGTGATTCGACGCAGCAATGGGAAACTTAACTAAGACATTTATCAATGTTTCGTTTTTGAAAGATGACCGAATGAGTTTGGCCCTACCTGATATTTATAGATTTCCCTGTGTGGACTGTGTCACCCTCCTAATGTTGAATGATCTTTTCTCCTCGTGTGAGAGTTTGTTGGTATGTTGTCTGGAGTTTTGCATCTACTCAAGGTAGGGTAGGGTAGGCTCAGGCTCTGTTTAATTCTGGAACCTGGGATCATTCAGATTTAGCCCAGAACCAAGAGAACTGACTTGTAGCGGTGTTACCTGGTGCTGGCCTGAAGCTGTGTATTTAGATGAGGGTCTAGGCAATATCCAGCCTGGATACTGGTTTCTCTGGAGCCAGCATGGAAATAAGATACATAAGTGTAGCTGTGTAGTCTAGGTTCAGCTCTGGAGTCTAGAGATAGGCTTGGAACTTGGGTCTGCTAGAATATGGGATTGTCAAGCTATATGGCTTAGGGGCTGTGTGTGTGTGTGTGTTCAGGTGCCAAACTGGTATCTAAGGCCAGGGCTGCTGAGATGTGCCTGAAATCTACAGCCAGAGAAAGTAGCTTAGATCTTTATGAGATGTGCCTGAAACCTATAGCCAGAGGAAGTAGCTTAGAACTGGGTGGGCCTGCATCCTTTCTATATGGAGACAAGCCTACACAGTGGGACCAGAGGTGCTACCCCAGTACATAGGGGTGAGAGGGTCAGCCTCATGCTGGTATGGGCCTTATGCCTAGGGAAATAAATGGTATTGACACTGGTCTAAAGCCTGGAGTTTAGAATCTAAGTTGGCCATATAATGGACTGGGGGCTGGCCTAACACAAGCCTGAAGCTTGGGGTCTTTGGGGTTGGCCTGGTCCTACAGAAAGCCCAAAGAGAGTCATCCAGGATGCCCCAGTCCTTGAGATATGGTATCTCCTTAGTGTCCAAGGTAAGTTTAAAGGCTCAGTCTGAAGTTCCTGGCCTTGGGGCAAAGGGCCTAGCCTAGCATGCTGGGAGACTATAGGAAGTATTTTTATAGGACATCATGAAGCCTGGGTCCACAGTGCTGGCCTAATGACTAGGCCTTTGCAGGCCAGCCTGGTCCTAGGAGCAGCCTGGGATGACTGCCAGCATTGAGGAAAGTCTCCAGCTGTTGATGACAGCCTCCTTGTAAATGCCCCCCACCCCAATAGTTAGAAACCTGGCTCCTGTCATGTGCCAGTTACTCATTCAGGTGTTTGTTTTGTTTAGTGTAACATGAAAAATTACCTCCATATACCTAAAAACAAATATGAAAGACCTGCTCTTTAAAAAAAAAAAAAAAAAACCGTAATAAAATGAATCACTTGGCAATTTCTCACATTAAAATGGTACCTGAGAAAGTTCACAAAAGTAGCCTGTAAACTCTAAGACACCTGGGTGGCAAAATCCCTACAATTAGGAGTTGTAAGAAGTACAGTCAAGAGTGGGAGAGGAACCTGGTGGGGTGGTGCACCCCTTTAGTCCCAGCACTTGGGAGGCAGAGGCAGGAGGATCTCTGTGAGTTCACAGGCCAGCCTGCTCTACAAAGGGAGTCCAGGATAGCCAGGGCTGGACAGTCAAGGCTGTATAGAAAGACCCTGTCTCAAAAACAAAAAAAAAAAAAAAAAACAAATAAGCTATAGTGATAATTCTGGAATTTTGGCTTCTTTTTTAAAAATCACAGAAATATTATAAGAATATGTTTTCATTTTAATCCCAGGTGTGAGGACACAGGGCTGCTTCAGCCTGTGTGAAACAGCTGACTATGATTTGCCTCGTGCTCTAGCAGAAGTGTGGTTTTGCCAACTGCAGTTTTTGTGACTATGTGATGTTTGGAATTCTGGGAACTTCTCAGAGGGTATATGTAATACTAGGCCCCAGAGAGGTGGTATTGATGGTTATTCAGGAGAGTTGGTTGCAGCTTTCGTCGTGCTCAAAGAAGAAACAAGAAGAAAAAAAAATTAGATTCAAGGATCTCCAGCTCTCTCTCCCCTCATCTCTCTTCCTCTCCTATCTGGTGATAAGGGGTGAAACTGGAGCCAGGGAATAAAGGGTGGGAAAAAGAAGAACCCATAGTGCAGCAAACACTAGCTTCAATAAACAAACAAAGAGTCGGAGAAGAACTTTGAAAGAAGGGACTTGGTGGAAATTTAAAGGAGCTAAGGGGTGATAACAGGGTGACTTGAACAAAAAGCATGGTGTATAATATGAACGTGTAAAAGAGCAGATAATTTTTAGAGCAAGGTATTCAGGGAGAAATAGTAGAATGATGTGAAAGGAAAGGAAGGGAACACTGGAGCCTGATAGTAAGTGGTTTATTTTTCAAGTATGTTTGCCTTTTTACCCCCCCCCCATAAACACAGCATTTCTGAAAGTAAACTCCCCCACCCCCTGTTCTGTGAAGTCAGGGTCATTTCTTTCTTTCAAAAAATTTCTGTAAAAGAGAAAGTTTAGATTCTTAGAGATACAGTGTCTGAGAAACAAACGTTCAGCTCCAAGCAGTGTTCCTGTTCCCACCGGCTGACACACCCCATGTCCCATACCATAGCCTGCCAGCTTCTGGGCAGAGGAGGCCCCGAGTTCCTTGAGGAATCCCGCTGAGCTCAATATGTCCACAGAAAAGTGGAACTGTGGAGTCAGTGGTTAAGAACTAGGAAACAGGCATTTAAGAGAGGCAGGCCAGCCGGTATACCCAGCACTGGGGACTCAGAGGCAGGTAGTGGTCTATGAATCTGAGGCCAGAACGGGCCACATATCGAGTTCCAGGACAGTAGGGACTGTTGGGAACAAGCAGAAGAAACTTATTCTAAGTACCATGATTTCGTTTTCAGACTCCATTTAACCATAGGGAAAAACTAAATTCAAGGTCCCAGGCCCCTTAGGGGAGCTGGGATCTTCCCGGTGCCTGAACAGCTTCTGTTGTAAGAAGACAGTTGCTGAGTCCAGCCATCTCAAGGACAGCTTCTCTATCTTGCTGGCAAGCTCATGTTCCCAAGCCCAGGAACAAATTCCTATCCCACTTCTTCAATTTTTTTTCCCCAACTGGTAAAGAATAAAGAAATTGCTGTTATCTACACCAAGATACAGAAGTTCTAAAAATATTTTACTGTTCTGCCCTAATTAACTAAGTGCAGCTGGCCCACTCCTTCGCTGCCTTATCACTCTGAGCTCTGGACCAAATGGCCTTGGGGCAGGTGTCCTGGATCAGGCCCAGTCTCCAACAGATACTCCCTTGCTTAGCCGGTAATGTCAAAATACAATTGGATAACCCTGCTGCTCACCCCACCCCTACCCCCCACCCCCGCTTTGTGTTCCCACCTTTTAAAAATGTTAAAAAGTGTTTTCACAATCTCCCTTCTGAGACATGGTTCAGATTCTGAACCAATGCCTCCCAGGGCTCAGAAAACAAAGCTTGTTTTAAACTTCTGTATCTGAAGTGAGTTTTCTCAGCCTCCACCCTGAACCCAACAAGGACTGCATAGAGAGACCCTGTACCACTGAATTGCAAATTGCATTACTGATTTGGGACCTTGATCCCTCTCCTCTCCTCCTTCTCCTCCCTTTCCTCCTTCTCCTCCCTCTCCTCCCTCTCCTCTCTCTCCCTGCCCCTCTCCCTCTTCCTCTGTGTGTGTGTATATCTACATGTGTGTCTATGCGTGTCCACCTGTTTGTGTGTTGATCTATGTGTCTGAATGTGTCTTTGTGTATGTGTCTATGTATGTGGTGTGTGTGCATGTTTCTGGGTGTATAAAAACCTATTTGTGTGTGTATATGCCTGTGTGTTTATTATATCTGGATGTGTCTGGGTATGTATAAGTGTATGTCTGTGCATGTCTATAAATGTCTGTGGGGAGTGGATGTGTCTATGTATGTCTGGGTGTGTTTGTATGTTTGCGAATGTCTCTTCATGTCTGGGTGTATCTAGGTATGTCTGTGTATATGTTTCTCTGTGTGTATGTGTGTCTGTGTGTATAAGTGCTCTTCTGTGTGAGGGCCTGTGTCTGTATGAGTGTGTGTGTACATATGTCATGCCAATCATATGTCTGTGTGTGGCCCTGTGTCTATGTGTGTATATATGTATGTATGTGTGTGTGTGTCATGTGTGGGCCTGTGTCTGTGTGTGTGTGTCTGTGTCTGTGTCTATGTGTCTGTCTGTCTGTCTGTGCCTCAGATTTGGGCAACTGTGGTCCTCTGTTGGGGAATAACCTCTTAGGAAAGGGGTCACAACATCCCACACACATCTGCAGCTCACCCCAATTTCTGCACAGATGTTTCCACAGTAGGTCCAGCAGCATGTGTGGCCTCTGTGTACACATTTGAAAGTTCTAGAACACTTCTTGGCACAGTCATTAGCTTTCGGCTGTCCCCAGCACTCCTCCAGTAACAATTCCCCCGCTGAAATTGAAATTGAAATGGTGAGAGGCTAACAGAGACACACAGAGCCAAGCGCCCTAAGACAAGCCCTTTCTGAGTTTAGGGCTTTTTCCTAGAGTCTGAGCCCCATACCCCTGCCAAGGTGTCTCTCTTCCGTGTTCCCTCACAGAAAAGTCATTGCCTTTGCCTCATTCCAATTCCTGGCTCAAGGAGACAGAATATGAATGAGCATTCTGATTTTGTTTTTGTTGTCTTGAGATGGGATCTTGTGTAGCCTGGGCTACCCTTGAACTCACAGGAAGCTGAAGATGTCCCAAAACCCCTGCTTCCACTTCCCAAGGGCTGGGATTGATTATAGACTCGCTCAACCGTGCCCAGCTTGAACCGGGCTTTTTTTTGTTTTGTTTTGTTTTGTTTTTTTCTACACTCCTTTCTTGCTGACTGCTCCAGGACACGTGTGTGGAGGTCAGAGGACAGCTTTGTGGAGTCTGTTCTCTCCCTCCGTGTTTACATGGATTCCAGGGATCAAACTCAGGTCCTCAGACTTTCGTGGCAAGTGTCTTACCCACTCCACCACTTTACTGACCTCTCTCCAAATGCTTCTCTCTCTTCATCCCTTCCACTGGGTAGATTCTCCTCACAGGAGCCACAAGTTCCCCCTACCAGGACTCTGTGTCTTGTCGCTTTCTAACAGATATGTTCTTCAAGGTGTTAATGAAAGTATGAGTCTGATGAAACAATGGGTATTTGATAGACACCCATTTGGTTCTCATGAAAGGAACCACAGGAGTTCTGTGAGTATGGAGGAGGAAGGGAGCTCTGCACTGGCTCTCCATCCTCAGAGGCACTGGGAAAAAATATTCTGTCTTCACTGCTCATGGTATTTGGATGAACACTGCTGTTTGGGAAGTTTCCCAGCTGGAGAAGTCCTCGGGTTCTCCAGTGGCTTATCTGGGAAGGGGGAGCCTCAATCAAAAAGTCGAACATGACCCCTACCCCCCTTGTCCAGAAGTGAGCACAGCCCCTGCCCCTGGTTCACAAGGCGTCCTCAGCACCTACGAGCATACTTTTGCTTCCTCCCTCCCTGGGCCAGTGGCGGCAGCAGCAGCAGCAGCAAGCACAGGAACACCACAGAGGGGAGTAGTGAGTGCTTCATGATGTTGGCCTCGAGCAAGTAAGCCTTGTCTGGATAGGCCTTGTTTTTTTCCTTCTCAGCTGCTGATAGAGATCAGACATATAAGTTAGGAGATAAAGATATTGCTTGTAGCTCTTCATCTAGGGGCAGGGCCTTGTAAGAGCTCCCTTTTCCACGCTGGCATGCCAATCAGCATTGTCACCGTGCTGACTTTGTTTACTGGTGAGGTTTCCCTCAGCAGTCATGCGTAGAAGACACTCTCTTGCAGTGGACATCCTGGGCCTCTGGCTCTTACAGTTTGAGTTCTACCTGTTCGCCTCCAGTATTCTCCTTTGCACTTTCATGTCTCGTGTATTCTATTACCTCCCCCACTCCTTTTCTTTAGAACCTCTTTTTCCCTGCTCATGGCTTCCCTTCCATTTTTACGACCTACCCACACTTATTCACACATAAATGCACGTAAATAAAATGAGAATCTGGGCCAGAGAGATGGCTTCATAGTTAAAAGAACTTCCTGCTCTCCCAGGGGACCTGAGTTTCATTCCCACAATATGTCCCTCACAACCACCTATGACTCTAGCTCCGGGGATCCAACACCCTCTCTGGCATCCGTGGGCATCTGCGGCCACATGCCATATGCACAAAGACGCGCGTGCACACACAAAAGCTTAAAGATAAAATCCCGAAAATAAACCACAAGCTGGTATCCACATACGAGAAGAAACATATGGTATTTGCCTTTCTGATTCTGGAAGACAGCTCTCGGTATAAAATTTCAAGATCCATCAACTTCCTGAAATGTATACAGTTTCATATTTTCATGGCTGAATAAAATTTCACTGTGTATATTTACCCCATTCTCATCATCCCTTCATCTGTTGATTGGTATCTAGACTGAGTCTCATTTTCTTGCTATTGTGAATAAGCCAACAATAAATGCGGGCATTCAGGCATCTCTGTGATGGGAAATATAGTCCTTTGGGTAAATGTCTGGGGTGGTATAGCTGAGTCATAATTTAGTGTTCTATTTTTTAGTCTTTTGAAAAAATCTCCACATTGATCTCAATAGCGGCTGCAGGAGTTTACACTTTAAATAGCCAAAGCCATAAGCAAAAGTTAAGAGACTGTTTCCAAATACAAAGATGGAGAGTGATGGAGAAAATACACGCAAATTCAACCTCCAGCCTCTATGCCCATGTGCACACACATATATACAAATGCCACACACATACACAAAGCTCACACTCATACAAACTCACGCACAAATGCACACACAGACCAAAAATTCTTTAAAAAAGGAAAAAGATAAGAAGCAATACCAAATGCTGGCAAGCATGGGGGGAAGAGAAAAGTTACACACTGCTGGTGGGAATGTAACCTTGTATAGATGCTACGGAAATCACGTGGGTTTGGGGGGGGGAGGGTCCTAAAAACCAAACATAGAACTACCATATGATCTAGCTACACCGACCTCGGCTGTGTACTAAAAGAATTACACAACAACATAGCACAAAGAAACCTGGGCATCCAGTACAGTGGTGTACTAGTTGCAATTGACAAGAAACAGAACACCCCTCGCTGAGAAGGAGCTTTCATAGTATCAGACGGTACCAGGAGAAAAGCAATCAGCAATCCTGTCCAGCTTTGACACCTATGGACTACAATGACTAGCATGGTATAATAACCTTAAGGATGCAATAGTGCCATGCATACCTTGGTGGTAGCCTGCAGGTCTCTGATTGGGCTTAAGACCCACTCAACAAAAGGAACCTCACGCCTGGCACTGGAAACCTAGCCGACACCCAGCCTTCATTTATTCACACTTCTTGGAGGTTAACCTACAACTGCCACTTTACGAAGCCAGAATAATCCCTAACTCTACTCTAAATATTTATCTTTATACCCACAGTGAAGTGGAGCTCCCACCCCTCATCAAGGAAACAAACAGAACACTGCCAAAAACTACAGTTTATCAAAGTGCAGAGTCCTGGATCTCAGGCACAACAATACATCTCCAACACAGCTCCTGCATCTAAGGCTCAGGGATCATCTCAGAAGAGGGTTTGGAAAGACCGTGACAGTCAGAGGAACAGGAAGTTTGCTGTGAAAGTATGTCTGCTAGAAATATCAAGGAAACTACAGCCATGAAATCTTACCAACATGTCTGCCCAAACATGACCTGGACAAGAATAACATCAATAGACATCCTATCTTAGGGTGGGGAAGACCATAGGGCCTCAATCCTAATCACAGAACTACAGGCAACGAAGGAATGCTGAGAGTGGGAGAAACAGTCCTCCCCAGGGAAGAGCACTCCAATTGGTTATCCAACTGCAAATGGTCAGCCCTGAAAACATACATACAAGTAACGTTATGCATAGCAGGTTTGATTTATATATACGGAGGAATATATACGCTCTTAATATATATAAACTTATTAATATAAACATTCATAAATGTCTATAAGTAAAAGAATCTGTGAATTTGAGAGAGTGCAAGGGGTACATTGGAGGGATTGGAGGGAGGAAAAGGAAGGGGGATGATGTAATTATAGAGATTCTGTCTCGAAAAAACACACACACTAAAAGAAAAAAATGAAATGGAACCAACCTAAGTGTCCATCAACACATAGAGAAATAAAGAAAAGGCAGTATGTATACATAGTGAGATCTTATTCAGCTATAAAAACGAAACTATGACATTTACAGGAAAATTGATACAACCAGAAGGCATTACATTAAACAAAATAAAGCTGAGAAAGATATATTCTGTGTGGTTTCTCTCACATGTGGAATCTGGATTTTAAAATCTTGTGTGTGTGTGTGTGTGTGTGTGTGTGTGTGTGTGTGTGTGTGTTTTGAAACTAGTAAGGGGATCCTGAGAGGGAAAGAAAAACCTTAAGAAGGGGTAAAAAGGGGTTAATACAACACGACAACAGAGAGGAGAGTGTTTGTGAGGGAAAAGTGAGCCAATCAGAGGGAGACGGAAGGGAGGTAGCTCAGAAGGGAGGTTGGGGGGAGATTAGAACAAGTGTAATACATGAAAGCGGCATAATGAAGCCCATTCCTTCGTATTCTAACTGAAAAATTAAACAAGAAAGAATATTTAACAAAAAGATCTGAAACTCTGAAGCCACTAAAGAATAATAGAAGAATATTATTTCAAGATGCAGGCACAGGCAGACCAGGGCAGATGCAGGCACAGGCAGGTGCAGGAGCAGGCAGGATGAGTGGAGGAGCAGGCAAGGTAGGTGCAGGCACAGGGAGGAGCTTTCTGTAAGGTACTCTGGCATCACAGAAAACAACCTCAAGAACTGACAAATAAAATTAAGAACCTCTGCACAGCTAATGGGAAAAAAATCACTAGAGCAAAGAGGGAACCTGCAGAATGGGAGACAAGCCTTTGCCAACCATGTGTCTGACAATGGACTAACTCCTAAAATGTCATAATAAATAGTTGGATGAACTGAATGGACATTTCTCAGAAAGCAAAATGCACACGACCCATGAATATTTGAAGAAATGATCCACATTTGTGCTTGTCACCTTCCTCATTACCATCACGAAAATGCCAGACAAAAGCAACTCAAGAAAAGATGGGGTAATTTTGCCTCACAGTTAGTGGGTACAGCCCATCATGGCAAGGACAGTGTGCTGTTGTAGCTATAGTTACAGGACTGTCATGTAGCTGGCCATGTAGGATCCGCCGTCAGAAAGATGAATGCTGGTACTCGGCTCCCTTTCTCATCTGCCCCCATTTTTTTTTTTTCAGCACAGGTCCACAGCCTATGGCATGGTGCCACTCATACTCACATGAGTCTTCCCTCCTCAGTGAAGCCTCTGTGAAGATTCTCTCAAAGAGGCCAAGAGCTGTATCTCCTAGGTGATCCCAAAGTCAATTCAGTCAGCTATCAAGATTAATAATCTTTAGCCACCAAAGAAATGCAAATCAAAAAATTAAATTAAAAGCAATTGTATTGCTTTACAATACACTTTATGTATAATGTTTATATGTGTATGTTTCTATGTTATATGATGAAATCTTTTGTATTTTAAATATAATGTATTGTTATATTTATTATATGATGTTATAATAAATATGATAATATAATTTATAAATATATAATTTTATATGGATAGCATGAAAATTGAAGGGATATGATAAAGAGGAGGGAAATATCTAATGGGAAGGGAGGGGGAAACAAGAGGGTAACAGACTAAATATGACCTCTTATACCCAGAATATAGGTTAAATTATGTTCTCTGTGTGTGTGTGACATATAATTAAAAAAGGGGACTATAAAGGAGGAGGGAAAGTTCTACAGGGAGGGAGGAGAAGAACCAGAAAGGTTAATGTGGGGATAGATGAAACATCTCTTTAGAGGGAGGAAGCAACTTAGCAAAGGGAGGAGGGATGGAGAGGGCATTGAGGAGGAGATTATCAGCAAAACACAGGGAGAGATGGCTCAGTGGTTAAGAGCACTGGCTGCTCTTCCAGAGGACTCAGGCTAGAGTCCCAGCGCCCACATGACAGCTCACAACCATTGGTGACGCCAGTTCTAAGGGCTCCTGGTCCCTCTCCTGGCTCTATGGACACTGTGTGCACACAGCATATAACAGAGATGCAGGTGGAACACTCAGATGCATGAAATAGAACCTCAGAAACAGAATAAATTAAAAGAGCAAGGTGCGTGCCAGGCATGGTGCCACACATCTTTAATGCTGGCACGTGGGCGGAGGAGCAGGCAGATCTCTTGTGTTTGAAGCCAGCCTGATCTACAAAGCAAGTCCCAGGTCAGCCTGGGTTATATAGTGAGACTCTGTCTCAAAAATGAAACAAACAAACAAAAAAGGGGCAAGGTACAATTTTATGTAACTGTGGAAGTTTCACAAAAAAGGAAAGTCTATTAGATGTATTGTTATCATTTCTAAACACTTCAGGGAAAGTCCTTTAACAAAGCCCATTCTCTTACATGAATATGACATATTTTCCAACTTCACTGAGTTTGACATTGATAAAAT